TGCACCTCCGTGGGGCCCTCCATGTTGTGCACCTCCGTGTGGTGCTCCACCTTGGGGTCCTTCATGTTGTNTTTGGGTAATAATAATTTCATTTTGGAAAGACATAAATTATAGTAATAGCCCTGAGATTATGTGTTTCATGTCATTTTGGTCTCTATTCTTTCAACTATGTCATTTTTAGCCATTAAACATTTGGTTTGATAACTATTGTGAAAACTAATAACTAAAAACATCACATTTTATAAAATATTCTTTTAATCCATTAATTATCAATTTTGTCAATAATATTCTTGAAATTTTCAACCAAATTTTAAATAATTCTTAAAATTATTCATAAAAAATATTAGATTCATCACACAAAAATAAGACCCGAGTCTCACAAAAAATATTGTCTGCACTTTAAGAATACATAATAATAAAATTGAAAAAAAAAGTAACATCCCGGAACACTTTAATAACTAGAAATGTATTTAGTCAAATATCATGTGATATTTTTTACTATTAATTATATATTTTTTTTTGTTCAACAGTCAGGAATATTCAGATTAACTTATATGTATTATGATCAATCTCCTTTTGATTTGAATAAAGACAGACCATCTGCTCAGAAGATAAGGTATTTATCATAATTTGATTCCAAAGAGTTATCCGTTGAAATTATCCATTAAAACTTTTATTGTCGATTATGTCAATTCAAAATCGAATTTAAAATATCATAGAGTAGGATAGCGTAATTAATAGAATAGGAAACAAAGTAAAATAATATTTACCTTTCGCTTTGTTGGCCGGCTCCAAACCTCTTTCTTTTTCTGCAAGACAGAGAGAAAAAAGAAAAACCATAAACGTTACCAATCACACCCACCGGTTTCGATTACTCCGCTACTAAACCCTCTTTAAATACAGCCCTAATCATCACCTTTCTCCGCACTACTCTCATTTCTCTCTCTAAAACACTACACTCTGCCTCTCAGTCATCTTTTCTGTCTCTAGAAAACTTCAGTCATCTTTTTTCTCTCATGGGTTCTGATAAGAAGATCAAGATCGGAATCAACGGTACTTGGATTTGTCTATGTTTTTTTTTAGATTTTATTTTCTTGAAAATGGGTTTATGGTTATTGATTTTGTGCTGAAATCTATCAGGGTTTGGAAGGATCGGTCGTTTGGTTGCTAGAGTTGCTCTGCAGAGAGACGATGTTGAGCTTGTTGCTATTAACGATCCCTTCATCACCACTGACTACATGGTACTGCATTTTCCCTGTAGAACTATTTTTTCCCTTATTTTTAAGCTTTATATTGGTTGTATTGATTCCTTGTGAGTTTTGTTATTTCTATTTGTGCAGACATATATGTTCAAGTATGACACTGTTCATGGCCAGTGGAAGCATCATGAGCTTAAGGTCAAAGACGAGAAGACCCTTCTCTTTGGTGAGAAATCGGTCACAGTCTTTGGCATCAGGTACAATTTCATGGTACAACTTGTTTTTCACTCGATATGAATTGGGAGAATTTGAACTAAAATGTTTGATTATGTAGGAACCCAGAGGAGATCCCATGGGGTGAAACCGGTGCTGAATTTGTTGTGGAGTCTACTGGAGTCTTTACAGACAAGGACAAGGCTGCTGCCCATTTGAAGGTTTGCTTGGATCTCGGTTCTTATATTTAGATTTTGTTGCTATTCCAGTTTGTGATGTTTCTGTACTGTGGGCTGATATAAGCCAGATCTGGTGGTATTTGCTCAAAATTATTTTTAGTGGGGTCTTGATGGAGTTTGATGTGATTTAGTTACATGTGTTGTCTTGGTTGATTTTCTTTTCTGGGTTTTATGTAAGTTTGAGTTTGTCTTATATTTCACAGATGATTTTGATGTGTTTTAATTTTAGGGGTACCCTGATTTGATTTTCTTTGCTAGATATAGTGGTGATTGACCTTATTTGATTTGGTTTGCTTATACTTTGATATAATTACATTGAGTGGCATTTTTTCACTACCGTAAATTTTTGTTTTGTGATAATGTTTGACTTTTCCACTGGATCATCTTATTTGTTGTATTATAGTTATGAATAAATTGGAGGCGTTGTTTGCCTTTTTGCTTAAAAAATTTTGTTGAATTATTGAGTTTTGAAGTTTTTTGTGTCTGTTTGTAGTAGATGTGTTGTTGACTTGGATTGTTTGGTGTGATTAGGGTGGTGCAAAGAAAGTTGTCATTTCTGCTCCTAGCAAGGATGCTCCCATGTTTGTTGTGGGAGTCAATGAGAAAGAATACAAGCCTGAGCTTGACATTGTCTCCAATGCTAGCTGCACTACCAACTGTCTTGCTCCCCTGGCGAAGGTTTTCTGAGAACCATTATACTTCTGACAACTCTTGGTTCACTTGCCTGTTTGCTGTATCCTTATGCTTTCCACTTTGAACTCTTGCAGGTTATTAATGATAAATTCGGCATTGTTGAGGGTCTCATGACCACTGTCCATTCCATTACTGGTGAGTGATTGTTTGCCGTGTTAGTTTTATGGGTTTATCCAAATGAATTTGAAGATGGTTCTAATTGTCAAATAACAATACGTGGTCCAGCCACTCAGAAGACTGTTGATGGTCCATCAATGAAGGACTGGAGAGGTGGAAGAGCTGCTTCATTCAACATCATTCCCAGCAGCACTGGTGCTGCCAAGGTATATAGCCGATTATGGAATGAGATTCTCATCATATTGGATTAATTGTTTGATATTTTTGTTAGAACTGTGCTGCATTGCAACGTGTATTTAATCAGTATTACACGCTTGCTGGATTTTGTCCACCTTCATCTGTATTTTACAGTAATGAATTTTTTGGGACCAGAGAGCCATATCTTTGAGCTGATATTTTGAATTAACTTATTTTTTTAAAATAGGCTGTTGGTAAAGTGCTGCCAGCCCTGAATGGTAAATTGACTGGTATGGCGTTCCGAGTTCCTACTGTGGATGTTTCAGTTGTGGACCTAACTGTAAGGCTTGAGAAAACAGCTACGTACGAGCAGATCAAAGCTGCTATCAAGTAGGTTTCTTGAATATTTTCTGATTTCTAAGGGATAATTGTGTCACAATGTGCTATTAAAGTCTTATAACTAAATCAGATGGTTAATGGTTTTTTAAAGTCTTTGGTATGAAGACAATTGACATACTATACAACGGTGTTTCTTTGAGTTCCCCACTTTAATGAGTTGTGTAGTTTTTCCCTTGTTTATCTTCTGATTTTTATTCGCTGACTTGGTTGTTCACAGGGAGGAATCAGAGGGCAAACTCAAGGGTATCTTAGGTTACACCGAGGATGATGTGGTCTCCACAGACTTTGTGGGTGATAACAGGTGAAGATTGCTACATGGGACCCTGTTTTTTCTGATGGATCACCTAACAATCCCATGCGGGGAAACAAAATCAATGGTTTTAATGTGTGTGCGTGGTTCACTTAATGCAGGTCAAGCATCTTTGATGCCAAGGCCGGGATTGCTCTGAGTGGAAACTTTGTGAAACTGGTCTCGTGGTATGACAATGAATGGGGCTACAGGTAATATGTCCTCTTTTTGTGTATTATTGTCACTTTTGATTTGCTTGGTTCTGGTTAATCATTTATTTGATAGTAGCATCCTATATCTTCACTGCTCAATTGTTTCCTTACACGCTATTTTTTGCTGTTGCAGCTCCCGTGTGATCGACTTGATTGTCCACATGGCTTCTGTTGCTTGAGGCTTCCAATGATGATTTCAAAGCTCTGTTTTATTTTATTTTTTTTTGATTGGGGCCTAGAGTTTTGTTTTTTTGGCCTTCGAACTTGTAGTTGGGAATAAACAAGAGTGCGTTTATGCTAGAGTTTTGNTGGCTTCTGTTGCTTGAGGCTTCCAATGATGATTTCAAAGCTCTGTTTTATTTTATATTTTTTGATTGGGGCCTAGAGTTTTGTTTTTTTGGCCTTCGAACTTGTAGTTGGGAATAAACAAGAGTGCGTTTATGCGTCGAGCCTGATGAATCTGGTTGGATTTTGTTTTGGTTTTCTAGTCATGTTGGAGTTGCTTCTTCCTTGCAAAGACAAAAAAGGAAACTAACCTTTGTCTTACTAGTTGTTGCAGATTTTGTCCTGGTGATTGTAGTCATCAGTCCTGTCTTTCTTGAGAGAAGAAGGATGAGTAATGTGGTAGTATTTTCCTTTATTATGCAAATAAAATATTACCATTTAATCATTTAGTTTTGTGTGTTTGATGATGATCTACCATCCAGACCAAAATAATCTTTATTTTCCATTCCTCCTAGGTGATTGCATTCATATTATTAAAGAGATTTGTACTAATTATGATAGGATGCTATTCCTCAAATAAACCACTAGTATGGTGTTTCAATAACATGGTGTATTCCTTTAGTTCCCTTTAATTTGAAGAGAAACCACAAGTTGAAAGAACATGTGAGGTTTATTGCAGAATCCAAGTGACCTAATATTTTAGCTTGGACCTNAGTTCCCTTTAATTTGAAGAGAAACCACAAGTTGAAAGAACATGTGAGGTTTATTGTAGAATCCAAGTGATCTAATATTTTAGCTTGGACCTCCTAAGTTTGGGGGATAAAAAGAACACTCTTTTTTCCAATCTACTTCCTATGGCCAAAATACCATGACAGTCTCTCTCTCATTGATGAAGGACCCATTGATGGAGGAGTTCCCATTATTTAGTAGAAATCATAACTTCACACTGGTGGGCCAAAAAACACATTACCGACAAGGGTGTTGTTACTGCCAGACAATATTTTCTATATAATTCACCATAAATTGAGCACATGCACTTCATAGCAAGAGAACCAAAAGCTTTTGCACAAAAAAAAGAATAAACTGGATCAATGAAAATTGAATGAGTTTACCCTTTACCCCCAATCACAACTGCATATTGGACCAATGAACCTAATGTTCGATTCCTTTCCAAACCAAACCATAAATTGTGTCTGGAAGATCCTTGACCCAGATTTAATTAATGAAGTTCGACGGAATAGCTTCAAAGAGAAGCAATGGAAAGAATATCATCTTATGCAGCAGATTCATGGGAGGGATGCTATTTTAACTCAATTTAATGATACAATTTGTGGACCTAATCCAACCGATGCTATTGGATTAGGAGTGGGTCACAATATTGAATGAGATCCACAGTGAAAAAAAGGTCCAAATACCGTATCATGCTAAAAAATAGGATGAGTCTTTTTTACTTCCAAAAGTATTTCTTGGAAATGTCAACAGAAGCTTCAAATGGAATTGTTGTACACCTCTTGTTTGGTTCCATCAACTTCTAGAGTAAAAGTTTACTTATCCAAAAAAACACACGTTCACTAAAAGTTACATCAAAACTTGGCTCAATATTAGCTTATTTCATAGCTGTCATTGGCAACAATTGCATAAGAAAGCTTACACAAAAAGTCAGTTGGAATTAATCCGCCCAACACTCGTCTGAAGTACTAGTTTGGATAGATTGCAGGGCTTCTTACATCACCATTCCTCCATCAATGGTCAAAACCTGCAAATATCATAGCAACATAAAATAGCTATCGATAACAAAAAAGAAGGAAACGGGGCATCAACAGAAGCTTTGCATTGTCAAACAGAGCTGTAAGCACAAACATATTGAGTTTGTTGGTTGCCACGCCTACTAAAATATAAATTGCAGATTGTGACAAAATAAATTCAATATGAATTTCTAGTATTTACAAACCTGTCCAGTGATGTAACTGGCTGCAGGGTTAAGGGCCAAAAATTTGACGAGTCCAGCAACTTCTTCTGGTTGACCATACCTTCCTGTATTAACCAGCAACAATTTTCCAATCATTGTCATTGCCTGATATACTTTTAGATTTTTTTCAAAATTGGATTTTTAGAATTTCAATCATATAGATCACAAAAAAAGGCGCAAATATCTTCTTCAATGTTATGCAAACCATTTAGTCACTGAAATTTCTGCTCATCAATTAGAGTTATCTGATCACTGCATAATATGAACATTGGTTGACCAGTAAAAATATGGATTCCAAACTATGATTGATACAAACATTTGAGATATCAGCAGAAATGCAATGGCTTGAATGAGGTGCAATGTCATGGACATCTTAAAGACAAGAAATGCAGCAAGATTAACCAGTGACTCTTGCATGTGAGAGAGAGAGAGACTTGATAACTAGAGAAAAGGAAATTANTTTGAGATATCAGCAGAAATGCAATGGCTTGAATGAGGTGCAATGTCATGGACATCAAGACAAGAAATGCAGCAAGATTAACCAGCGACTCTTGCATGTGAGAGAGAGAGAGACTTGATAACTAGAGAAAAGGAAATTAGTCACAGTGAAAAAAGTTCATAAAACCAATGAGGGAAACAAAAGGGGAAGTCATCTATAATGGTTGCCTTGCAACATGCCATAAGATGTGGTTTGTGCTAGCAAGATAAATACATACGCCCTGAGATTTAACAGAACATATATAGAGCTGAATGCAAAAAAAAAATATGAAATTGCATAAAGGGGGACAGAGAGTTTGTGTGTGTGTGTGTGTGTGAGAGAGAGAGAGAGAGAGAGAATATTNAAGATGTGGTTTGTGCTAGCAAGATAAATACATACGCCCTGAGATTTAACAGAACATATATAGAGCTGAATGCAAAAAAAAAATATGAAATTGCATAAAAGGGGACAAAGAGTTTGTGTGTGTGTGAGAGAGAGAGAGAGAGAGAATAGTTTTCCTATGGATAAATATCTCACCCAAGGGGATGGTCTCCAAAATCTTTTTCTCAATGTCTTCTCCAAGCTTAGCAGTCATATCAGATGCAATGAACCCTGGGGCTACAGCATTGACCTGAGGATGTAAAGTCTTCATTAAACTTTATTTCCATGTATGAGTTTGAACTGCATCATGGCATGTGTCTGAGCACTAAAACTCATGTATATAACTCTGGGAAACTCACATTAATACTCCTGCTTGAATATTCCTTGGCCACAGTTTTTGTCAGGCCAATTACACCTGCTTTTGCAGCACTGTAATTGGCTTGCCCAACATTGCCAACAAGGCCAACAACTGATGCTATATTGATTATCCTTCCCTGTAAAAGCAGCAATTAACTGATGTCAGAGACTTTAGACCAAAACAACAAAAAAAAAAAGTAAAATAACGGTGCCCAGTTATATCAAAAATTCAAAATATACTTTCTCAAAGCTGATTACATACATTCATTTTATATTTTTTCTCCGTGTGCAATTTCATGAGGGATGGACAGNAATTCAAAATATACTTTCTCAAAGCTGATTACATACATTCATTTTATATTTTTTCTCCGTGTGCAATTTCATGAGGGATGGACAGCACATAGTTAACACAAATTGCTAAACCCTTGACGACCCACGATCTGGGTACAACGATCCTAAATGAGGTTGGTTCGCGATCCAGATCGTCTAAATGTCGACCCAAAATTGTTATACTATCTCCAAATCAATTCGTTTGGAACATGTATCACAAAAGTAAAATAAATATTAATTAACTATGTGCATATATAATAGGAAATTGAGCACAAATGTAAAATAAATAGTAATTGACTATGCGATTATGGATGTATTATTATATATAATTTCATCTAGTAGTGAAAGTGATCTATATAAGGATTATAAAATGAATAATTTTGTATCAGTTAAGCCTACTCTCATTGCACCACATATCTAAGAAAGTGTCGTACCACATACCTGCACCATGTACTAAATTGACCCACGATCTAGGTAACATTGAAAACATGCCAAGGTTCCCCAAATAAGGTATTCTTAATTATAGATATCATGACAAACCATTGCCATAAAATTGATGGCAATTCAAACACATTTTATCTATAACTTTGATATTAATTCCTGAACCGAATAACCAGAGTATTGAAGCAAGTTGAAACACATCAAATTCATCATTAAATTCCACACCATATTCTTGGGCAGCACCTTAGCCTATGACTGGCAGAGCAAGTACAGAAAACCAATACAGCCAAAAATTGTGACATGAGAATACCTTTCTCTTCTTCATCATTATTTTTGCTGCTGCCTGCAAAGAGTACAAGATCTTAGATCCAAATAAAAGAAGACAAGAAACCATATCTGTGGACAGTTAGAGTTGTGAAGACAATACCTGTATACACAGGTATACACCCGTGAGATTCAGATCAATAACCTCCTGCCATTGAGGTGTCTTCATTCGCATCAACAACCCATCCCTAGTAATACCTGAAACCATTCCATATTTGATAGTAGGTTATATTTTCCAAATGCATACATAACGAAACAGGGGTGGATTTTTCAATAACCTGCATTGTTTATTAGGATGTCAACAGTTCCCCATGCATCGACTGCCTGTAGATGCGACAATCATGAAGAATACTAAAATTAGCAGCATACTATGTTAACTAAATAATCAGCACATGAAGACTGGCTCACGGTTTTAATCATCGCTTCCACATCTGCTTCTTTGGAGACATCTCCTCCAAAAGTCAGAGCTTGACCACCGCATGCCTCAATCTGCAAGCACATATAATAGGTTATCATCTATCATTTTCAATTTCAACAATATGACACAACACCATAATTATTATATATGCTCTACCAGCAGAAGTCACTAGTATGTGCAATCACATTATCGTCAAAACTAATCAAATTGTTCCATGAGTCTTCAATTATGTTATTCGCTTTTAATAAGTAGGGTTATCCCAGACAAGTCTCATAGAAAGGAGATCCAACTTTTCCAAGCAAGTCGGTTGATGAGACAAGTGGATGGCTGGCTGGTTTTTTGCTGGCAGGGGGCAAGAAAGACTATTGTTCTTCCTTGAAACCTTTGCAGTTTACACACTAAAGTAAGCACATTAACTCGCCAGCAAATCCTGAACCTGTTCTTAACCTATAAAAGACATATAGCTAGCTGTACACCCAGTAGCACATGCATCATTGCATCATATTTGAATATAGTTTCTAGCATTCTTCCAGCCCAAAAGGGAATGGAAGCAGGGAAGCATATTAAGATGTAAAGAAAAAAGGAAACATAGAAAATAGCTGCATATCACCACTATATATATGTGCACAATTTTCATAAATATGCATATAGTTGGCGTTCTTCACCTCTTTACAAACTTCTACTGCCTCCTTTGATGACCTAGCATAGTTGACTAGAACCTGCAACGGACAGTGTGAAATCAACATTGACAGAAGGAAATAAATGGAAAATGATAACAGGACTGGGATAGTAATGAATACTGATGAACAGAAAGCAATAGCAGCATAAAGGCATACTGAGCACTGACTATGAATTAAACTAATTAAATAAGCACAAGTGTTGTTGCCTTGGACCTATTTATCATGCTATTGCCATGAACCCAGAAGAACTTTGACAATTTAAGCAAAACTGTCTTCCTTATCGGAATAGGCAAAGCCTCACTGTTGATACCCAAGCCGTTGTCACAAGTATTGAATTGATGAAGTGAAGTTGACATTTTCGTTACAACTTTCTAGCTGTGTATGTGTGCTGGGTGGAGAGAAGGAAGAGGTAGTCCAATTCACAATATAGACACCTCACAGATGATATCAAGGAGTGGTTCTGAGATGAAGGCTTTCTTTGGCCACCCTAACTTCTCAAAATGCTTGGTTTTGTTAGTTATGCCTAAAATCACACAAGTTATCATCAAGGCAAACATCAACAACTGCAGACAGAAACTATCCATCTAACTCGTGAGTACTAATCACAAACCAGCCACAGAACCACCAACAATAAGAAATATACAGGTATATGTTAGCAAGTGACATATAAATGGAGTTGTCAACTTGCAGTAAGGGAAATTCCTGACCTTACATCCAGCTTTCCCCAAAGCCAGTGCAATTGCTCTGCCTATCCCTCGAGAGGCTCCAGTCACAACAACAACAGGGGCTTCCACATTTTGAGCAGCTTCAACACTTGCATGTTCAATAGTGGCAACCTGAGCTTTTACACCTGCATCTGCCACTATAAACAATGAGATCTGCATTCCATGGTGCCAGGTAGCAACGTAGGGAAATGAGCAACAAGGACCCACACTTGTGTTAGTATAAAGAAGCTCTAAAGGAAGACTTACTTCTCTTAACTAACGAAACTGTTAATTACAGAATTATACATAAACGCTTTTTTTCTTTTTTTAGTTTCACGTTAATAATCAAATAATCTTGCCGTTCCCACATATTGCAAATAATTATTGAGTGATGTTAAAGTTACCTAATTATTCCAAATTCTCGTTTCCCTGACTGTCATACAACTCAAAATTCCTCATTCAAATCAACCCCGAAAAATCACTGGCACTTTCTTAACCAACTCAAATCTCAAATCATCCACAATCCCACCATTCCCAAATTCTTCCTTGTATTGCTTCAAAATTTCAAACTTTCAATGCCAAAACAACCAACTGATCTAAAATTTCGAAGCAACACAACGAAGCATCGTATAACTAGGTAACATCAACAAACCAGAACATAAACTGCAACAATGAAAGAAGATACACATACAAGTGCATATTCCAATACATGTGTAGATAATATATACTAAACGAACAGTGGCAATAACTATACAAATATACAATACAAGTGCATACGTATACGTCACAGAAGCGGATCAAAAGTGTTACCACCGGAAGCGAAGGAGCTCCTCGATCGGCATTGCAAGTTGAGCTTGTGTTGGAGATGAATCGATTGGGAAATCGGAGAAAATTGCCGGAAATGAGAGAATTTGTGGTCGGCGGAAGGTGAGGAAATTCCGGCGGATTTAAGAGCGACGATGGCCGATCCGGCAATAGAGGCAGCCATGAGTCTTCGAAGAGCGAAAATTGAAGAGTGAGAGGAACGAGAAGCAATGAAATTCGCCACGAAGACAATGCTTTTTATAAAGCAACAACAATCGGACAAGTGTTGCTGATTTCTCCTTTGGAAGCTCCGAACACAGTGAGAGANATGCTTTTTATAAAGCAACAACAATCGGACAAGTGTTGCTGATTTCTCCTTTGGAAGCTCCGAACACAGTGGGAGAAGCGATGCGTTCGAAGTCTATTGTTAGGGAAAATTATATTTGTACCCTGAAATTTTGAAGAGTTTTCAATTTATACCTTTAAAATTTTTATTTTCACATTATACCTTCAATTTATTAAAAATATTTCAATATCGTTCTTTTGTTAGCTTTCCTTATTTTATCCATCAACATCAATGAGGTAATTTTTTTTGGAATAAGCAGCAGAATCTAACGAGAGATGATCACATTTCAATACTTTTAATATATTAAAAATATAATATGACAAATTTATTTTTTATAAGTATAAAATAAAATTTATAAAATTTTTAAGAGTGCAAAATATAATATTCTCCTTTTTTTTTTAATGGTACTTTAGGCTTTGTACAATTTGTATCGCCGCGGGAGTATAAAAAGGAGCTAGTTTTCATTTTATTTACCAGGCAGCCATTGGGGAAATCACAGTGTTGCCAAATGGTAAATTGAGTGGTATGACTGGTACTTTGCTGGTATTTAGTGCAAAGACTGTGATGAATGTAGGTTGGCCCAACGACTTCACCTAAACCCGACCCACTTTCTCAACAAGTCGACGTTGGGGTGTCAATTGCAAAGAATACTGAAAAGTAGAATTACTCCCAGAGTAACGCGGGAGGGATCTAGAAAATTAATTGATTTAATGAAAACCCAATAAAAAAGTTAAAAAATTATAATTACTGTCAGCAATATTAAGTTAATTAATGAGGTCATAATAATTGATGGAGTCTCGAAAATCACAGCCCAAACCCAACGCATGAAAGGTTATTAGGTCCAATATTAGAGTAGGTTTGGTAGATTGAGTTCTCTTAACAAAAGAAAACAAGAAAGATAAATGATTCGTCTTGGTCGGTAGACCAAGGTTACATCCACTGTAATAGAATTTCTTGTTACTTGACTTTATATATTGAAACGTCGATGAATGCAGCAGGGATTCAAGCATTGGGCCTTAAAGATGGCCCTAAGCTTATTGGGTTGTGTTCAGGGTTGTTTTTTAGTTCTCTGGGATCGCCCTCTTCTGTAGGATATTGTTCTATATATATATAGGTCGCTTCTCTTTGTGATTCCTGGCGGTTCCTTCTATCTTTTACCAATCTTATGAGGACCTCTTGTCCTTGTTCTGCAAAAGCCTTTTTCAGTCGGCGCCACTGCGCTCACGATCTCTGGGGCGTTATGCTCCACCATCTTCTGCGTGCTGGAGGATGTAGGTATCGTTGGTTTCAGAGATGGTTCCCTTGTCCTCTATGCGCGTGGCATGGCGGGGTGGCTTTGAGGCAAAGATTTGATTCCTTCTCTTCAAATTGTCCTTTAGCAAGTACCTGATTGAGTCGGGTTTGGACCACTGTCCCTCGGGTGCTCGTCGGGGCATGTCGTTTCTGCTCTTTGTCTTGGGTTAATAGGAGACGCTCTACGTTGGGCCAATGGACTTTCCTCCAGTTCTCCCATGGCTTTTTGGGTTTCTGGCTTGTTGGTGGGCCACACCCAGAATTTTACCCTTATCAATAATATTACTAAATATTAATTTAGGACCAAAAAAGGTGTAGAAAAATTGAAATAAGCAACCTTAATTTTGTTATGTGTGATTGTGTCCCATGGCACCTACAAATATGCATGACTTTGTTTGTAAGAATTGCATGCTTTCTAATGTCATTAGTGTAAATGATAATGTATTATCAATCCTTGTTGGTATCGATGATATCTAAGTTCCAGTCCAAGCTATGAGAACCGACGTAATTGATATTACTTGGTCTCCATGAATTTTTCTTCTCCTTAGTGTGAGTGAAATGGTGATAATAAGATTTATCATTTCGACTCAAATGTTGGATGAAAATAATGAAGTTAAACCCTCCTTATAAGAGTACAGGCAACCACTCATGAAAAGTCACCTCAACAAATTAAGTGGGTTAACATAAAGTCTGTTTCAACTTTAGTATCACAATCGCACTATCTTACACAACCCGCCCACTTTTGAACCTTCACTTCTTCTTCATCATCTTCTCTCACATACCCAAACACTCTCCTCCCTTACCGCGGACTAATATCAATCCTTGAGTAGAAGCTAAACATAGATCTACGAGTTATTGGAAGAAGATAAACAAACAAATTAAATGGCAATTTGATGTTACCAACAAAAAGCTTCTCTGTCCTCCTTGGTGGAGGGAGGAGTAGCATTCGGTTCTAACTTTAAATAGTACTGGATATGAAGAAAAGTAATGCTACACTGACTAAATTTGGAGTCCAAATGACATGACAGTTAATTATTTGAAGTTTTTATTGGGACTCTAATGACATAACACTAATCAAAGAAACTCAAGTCAACTGTCATGTCATTTGGTCCAAAAATTTGGTCAATCTAGCATTACTGTATGAAATATGATTGATCTAATCTAAAATCAAAAAATTGATTCATTTATATTTCTTTTTAGTTACAGGCTGCAGGTGATGGGTGACTCTGTGTGTGTGTGTGTGTACGAGAGTGTGAGAAAAAAGAGAGAGTTCATACGTATGTTTCAATTTTTGTGGGTGCGAGGGAGAAAAGAGAAGAAAGAACGATGAGAGCAGTCCTCTTTGTCGAGGTGGCTACCCGTGGTTTACGAGTAAGCCAGACAAAATTTATTCTCTATGCAAAAATGTTGAACCCTTTTTAAGTAAATGCATACTTGCACCTTTGACTTGTTAATCTTAAGATGCAAAATCTACTATTTGGAACAAGATTACGTGAGGATTGTTTCATCTCAGATAACATACAACAATAATAAAAATTATAAATTAGCTCTGTCATTCTTAACCATTGAATCAAAAAAAAAATAGTAAAAATTGAGTTCATTGTGTATCAATCCTTGTTTGTTTAAGTGGTAGTATTCTTATTGTAAACTACGCCTTCATTAAAGAGTGGATGCAATAAGTAAAGCTAGAATAAGAAATCTCAACTCTACCTTACAAAAAAGAAAACTAGACAAAAAAAAGGTAAAAAATAAGTTTATGGATGCTAACACATTATTTATCATGCTGTCTATAGTACACCACTGTAAATGATGACAAAGTTTGTTTGTATCTATGCAGCAATACCACGCAACATTTTACAAAATGCAATCACTTCTTGATCCCACCTACATGCATCACAGAGCAAAACATCGTTGTCTTCATTACAATCCCATGTTCGTTCCATTCTAATGCAAGGTTGTTCATGGCAACAAGTGTTTGTTTGTCTAACAAGATAATTGTTGATCCACATTGTTCGAATAATCGCTTTCGTTCTTACCCGACACTCTTGTATCCTCAAACTATTTGATTTTGAACTCTTCACTGCATTTAGAAGCTTTAGGCCCTGTTGAGTTGATTCACCACCAGTGCACAGTAGGATAATACCATACACATATGATGCTTCTATGTGTCCCTTATCTGCTGCTCTCTTGAGATACTCTAGTCCTGATTCCATTCTCCTGTAACTAAAATATTCAACCTGAACTAAGCATAAAATTGTTATCAGCACCTTAGTTTTAGGTCAAACACTTCTCTTACATCAATATATTATATATCTACATTTACATATACAAATATATAGGCATATACATGTCTATAAAAATATTGTACTTCTTTGAAGTCTTTATTTATTCTGTTAAACTATCATCAACGTATGTCCAAGGAACGAAATTTCGATCTGAAACATCTAAAATATTTTCGTTTTTACGGAAATCGAAACGAATCATTAATTAAATATTAAAATTCTTATGTTTCGAGGTATTTCGATAGGTTTCGAAGTGTTTGGGCATGTTTCGGTATGTTTTGACTAATAAATTTTTTAATTTTCTTTGTTTTCATCTTATTTTTGAAATATTTTTAAAACATTATTGAAATATTTTCATTTTCAAGCTCACTAAAATTATACATTAAAACAAAATTTTGATTTTTACATATCATAAAGAGCTAGAGAGAGATGGTAGCTTGCTAAAATACTACTGGCAAACATATAAGTGGGGCTCAGAAAAACAATAGAAATAATGTGGGGTTTATATTTACCTATTACCATCTTTACAAGCATGAAATAAAAAGACTGGATGCCCTACGAAAGTGGGATAACAAAGAGGAAACGTGAGTTAGGGAAGAAAGAAAGTACGTAACGTAAGAGCTTACCAGGCCTTGTCTGTAGAGTGCCTCAGGGTTTCCATTATCCTTGCAGCGATTTAAGAAGGCGACGACTTCATCCCTTGTGAACCACGGAATCACTGGGAATCTGTTGATCGATACGTGTTCAAGGATATAATCTTCATCTGCTGCTCCAAGAAAATCTCTGCAGCTGTGTGGAACAAAAAATAACAACATTATTTAATCGAGTATTAGACAAATAAATCTTTTACACGAAGCCCGCTGGTGAGAGAGAGAGAGAGAGCAATCAGCATAGCAATAGACTTTTTGTACGTTTGCATAGGTAACTATATGAGAGCTGGTGTTGACACAATGGTTAAAATCACAAGAACAATCTCTTTAGAATAACATTGCGTATATATAATTTTTTCTTAAACCTACCTACACTGGGGCTGTTTTTCGAAGTATATGTAGCTATATGTAATATTATGCCTGCATGTGTATAATATTTTTCATGTTTTGTTACTACAGAAGTACAAAACATTACAAAAAAGGAGGACGAAGAAACAGTATGAGGTTAAGGTATATTACCATAACTTGGCGTTGAAGAGATCTGTAAAGGAAGAGGAGGCAACCCGAGCAAGAACATCGACCAACAATTCTTTTGGAAGAGATTTAATGGCCAGATCATTGAGCTTTCTCGTGGTTTTTTTTGTTTTTATGGTTTTGGATCTTCCAGTTCTTGTTCTCCTCCCTGTCTTTGAAGACCCATAGCTTCTCGAGAGGGAGAAGTTAAACATTACAAGAAGAGTAGGGGGTAGAAAACTCCAATTCTTAGAGAAAACGAAAGGTATATGGGTTATATATTATTGTATGTATCAGACTTTTTGGTAATTAAAACAGCTTCCAATATTTTTTACAAATCCTAATGGCAACAGGAAAAGGAAAGAGAAACGAGAATTCCAAATTGAGGTCAAATTTGATACAGAATTTGAAACAATGTCAACACACTTGAACTCCTTAGTTTCTAATTAATATCCCGTACTATTTTTAAGGAAACTTAGAAGAGTATAGGCCTGAGAATTATACTGTTCTACTTTTTTGCTTTTTTAATTATAATCTTCTTAATTACAGGCCCAACGCGATAAACAAAGCCTTTTTTATTCCATTATCATGCAAATATTATTAGAGTAATGCTATTCGGATCTAAAAATCTGACCTAATTCACTATGACTTTTAGATTGACTGCAGAGTCTATCAAACATTGAAATATGGTGTTGATCCAATGATTCTTATTAAGTGATATCATTATGTCAGCAAATTAGGTCAAATTTTTAGGTCCAAAATAAAATTACTCATATTATTAATAGTGATTCTGATGAGATTAACTCATAATTGAAGGATTCAGATTGTGGCACTGTCATCTCTTTCTTTTTTTTAAATGATTAGAAACCTTCTAATATAGTAAACATCACCTGTAATTACTGCTAACAATAAATATTGAATAAATTTGTAAGTTACCTATAAAGGTCGAATCTAAAATGTCTTAAATTTACAGTTTGCTCCATACTAACCCCACAGCCCACACAACTGTTGTTGTCTTAATACGATGGTTAAGGGATGGCTCCCTAGCCAACAAGAAAAAAATGGTTCGAAAGGTTCTTCTCTTACAACAAGCAAGGTCAGATTAATACTTCTCTAAATAGTGGACTTCCGTGAACTCCACATTCACCATTCCTACGGCAAGTGTCTTCAAGCGAAATTAGCGATGAAAGATTAGCTAGAAACCCCAATATTAGCATCAAAGATCTACTTGGACTCACGAACCTGAGCAAGATAAATGCATCTCTACTCACCGAGGACAAACCAATAATCTCCTCCGTTGCCAAAAAATAAATACTTGGCGGTTTTTTTGGCAAAATTAAAATTCTAGTTCACTTACCCAAAAAAATACGAGCACTTTATGAATAAAATGCTTATGTTGCAGTTTTTTTTATCAGCATATTGCACTTCGAGAAGTTGTTTTGAATGTAGGTCCATACATCCTCTACAACATTAGACTGCACAAAGTGGAAACCAACATAGACCAAAATTCTAGCCATCCATAAAAACCCGAATCTAATGATTTCACCAGGGGTTTCAAGGGAGCTTTGAGGAGAAAAAAAGTGATTACAGTCGACAATGTTATCTTTTCAGAGTTATGGTTGTCTGGCCATTTTGCCTACAATATGCAACTCTTTCTCCAGAATATGAAGGGCTTCCAAAATACAAAGCCAACAAAGAAGAAATATGGCAGTTAGGGATATTCCCCCCCTACAAAATCATAGGCCAAAATGCAAACTTAAGGCAAAATATACTTCCGAGCTAGCCAATCAGTGTGGATCAGTAGTTGCGTTGGTATGAGAAGTCACACACGAATGAGCAGTGCAAAACAGAACTCTTGACAGTTTTAAGTCGAGATAAGAAGCTTTAGAATACGTTGAAAACAAGAATTCCCTTTCATGCAGAAATTACCATCAGGAGGTCGAGCGCAGTTTCCAGGATATTACTCGAGGATGACTATCCTAACCATTTGACTGCACAGGTTTTTTAGAGTTATTCTTGCGGCGCACCTTCACGAAAGCCTTCTCCAATTCCTGAATAAACAACAAAATAGGTGAAATGAAGATTTTAAGGTTTGGAGAAACCAAACAGTAAAACTACTGCTACTTTTAAGTCTTTGTGCAAGTTTGACGGGTGATGCAACATTAGAACATCTCCAGCCTTTACCCTTTTTAATACTTTTTTTTTAAAAAAGGGATAAAAATACTTTTAAAAACCTTCTCTAATGCTAGATTCATACTCATAAATCCTTTTTTAAACGAAAGACTCAAATCCTCACCCTTTTCACCAATTGTGATATTACACCCTCCTTTAAAGATCCAATTGTCATATTTACCCACTTTTAAATTTGAATTTGTCCTCATTTAAAAAAAGGTTTCTCTTCTTTTAAATTTGAATTTCTCTTCCTTTAAATTTAAGTTTCTCCATTGGAGAAATCTATACTAAATCAAATTTTTTACTCTTTTTTACTCAAATTTGGGTAAGGATTTGGATCTCCAATGGAGAGGTCTAAATATGACTTTCCCATCACTAAATTCTTAAATATCTGCAAATATCTGGTATAGGGATTCCGCATGCCCATTGGCATGTGTTTTTTTTAGCCTCTGTGATCATGTACTAGAACTGAAAAATCTAACTATCATAACATGGTTTTTATTTGCTATAGGGAACCAGGAACCTTAACTACTTATACATGAAAATATGCATGTTGAGATCTTTCACCACAAGTTATCTGATCCAGTGGAACAGCTTGAAAAATATTCAGCTAAAAAACCACTTAAAAAGTAGCCTTCACATGTCACCTGAGTTTGTTCTTTGTTTGATGTCTCTGCGGTCCAAAGCCTCTCCAAATTGTAATAAGCTCTCACTTTCTCATCAAGAGCATGAACTATCAATGTGCCTAGTCAAAATATATCCACCCAAAATCAAGAAAAAATAAAGATTCAAGAAGCATTTAACAGCCACAAATTTGCTAGAGATGTTCGCCTAGCACAGATATTTAAAAAGACTCTATTATATTAATTTCCCACATTTACTTCTGCTCACAGAACGAAATTTCATCAATTCGAATATCTAAAGTAAAATTCTCATAGCCTTTACTACTCATGTTTATGACATGTTAGCTGCAAGCAAGTCAAAAAGATGGATTCCGTATCATTAGAGACATTATGTGTTATTACACACGATACAATCCATAATTCAGCCCAACAGGAAAAAAGGAAAAAAAAAAAAGAGTAAATTTAATATAGTACTTTGATTGTGATCGTCAAATAATGCTACCATTTATCTCACATTGNACACATATGATGCTTCTATGTGTCCCTTATCTGCTGCTCTCTTGAGATACTCTAGTCCTGATTCCATTCTCCTGTAACTAAAATATTCAACCTGAACTAAGCATAAAATTGTTATCAGCACCTTAGTTTTAGGTCAAACACTTCTCTTACATCAATATATTATATATCTACATTTACATATACAAATATATAGGCATATACATGTCTATAAAAATATTGTACTTCTTTGAAGTTTTTATTTATTCTGTTAAACTATCATCAACGTATGTCCAAGGAACGAAATTTCGATCTGAAACGTTTAAAATATTTTCGTTTTTACGGAAATCGAAACGAATCATTAATTAAATATTAAAATTCTTATGTTACGAGGTGTTTCGATAGGTTTCGAAGTGTTTGGGCATGTTTCGGTATGTTTTGACTAATAAATTTTTTAATTTTCTTTGTTTTCATCTTATTTTTGAAATATTTTTAAAACATTATTGAAATATTTTCATTTTCAAGCTCACTAAAACTATACATTAAAACAAAATTTTGATTTTTACATATCATAAAGAGCTAGAGAGAGATGGTAGCTTGCTAAAATACTACTGGCAAACATATAAGTGGGGCTCAGAAAAACAATAGAAATAATGTGGGGTTTATATTTACCTATTACCATCTTTACAAGAATGAAATAAAAAGACTGGATGCCCTACGAAAGTGGGATAACAAAGAGGAAACGTGAGTTAGGGAAGAAAGAAAGTACGTAACGTAAGAGCTTACCAGGCCTTGTCTGTAGAGTGCCTCAGGGTTTCCATTATCCTTGCAGCGATTTAAGAAGGCGACGACTTCATCCCTTGTGAACCACGGAATCACTGGGAATCTGTTGATCGATACGTGTTCAAGGATATAATCTTCATCTGCTGCTCCAAGAAAATCTCTGCAGCTGTGTGGAACAAAAAATAACAACATTATTTAATCGAGTATTAGACAAATAAATCTTTTACACGAAGCCCGCTGGTGAGAGAGAGAGAGAGAGCAATCAGCATAGCAATAGACTTTTTGTACGTTTGCATAGGTAACTATATGAGAGCNAGAAGCCCGCTGGTGAGAGAGAGAGAGAGAGAGCAATCAGCATAGCAATAGACTTTTTGTACGTTTGCATAGGTAACTATATGAGAGCTGGTGTTGACACAATGGTTAAAATCACAAGAACAATCTCTTTAGAATAACATTGCGTATATATAATTTTTTCTTAANTCAAATCAACCCACTCCTGTGTAAAACGCATTAATCAAGTGGACTCAAAAAGAAAAGGCGTACCAACTTACCAAAAGCAGGTGAAGGGTGCATGTGTGCAGCTAAGTCAGACATAATGCTGATACCCCACNGGTAACTATATGAGAGCTGGTGTTGACACAATGGTTAAAATCACAAGAACAATCTCTTTAGAATAACATTGCGTATATATAATTTTTTCTTAAACCTACCTACACTGGGGCTATTTTTCGAATTATATGTAGCTATATGTAATATTATGCCTGCATGTGTATAATATTTTTCATGTTTTGTTACTACAGAAGTACAAAACATTACAAAAAAGGAGGACGAAGAAACAGTATGAGGTTAAGGTATATTACCATAACTTGGCGTTGAAGAGATCTGTAAAGGAAGAGGAGGCAACCCGAGCAAGAACATCGACCAACAATTCTTTTGGAAGAGATTTAATGGCCAGATCATTGAGCTTTCTCGTGGTTTTTTTTGTTTTTATGGTTTTGGATCTTCCAGTTCTTGTTCTCCTCCCTGTCTTTGAAGACCCATAGCTTCTCGAGAGGGAGAAGTTAAACATTACAAGAAGAGTAGGGGATAGAAAACTCCAATTCTTAGAGAAAACGAAAGCTATATGGGTTATATATTATTGTATGTATCAGACTTTTTGGTAATTAAAACAGCTTCCAATATTTTTTACAAATCCTAATGGCAACAGGAAAAGGAAAGAGAAACGAGAATTCCAAATTGAGGTCAAATTTGATACAGAATTTGAAACAATGTCAACACACTTGAACTCCTTAGTTTCTAATTAATATCCCGTACTATTTTTAAGGAAACTTAGAAGAGTATAGGCCTGAGAATTATACTGTTCTACTTTTTTGCTTTTTTAATTATAATCTTCTTAATTATAGGCCCAACGCGATAAACATAGCCTTTTTTATTCCATTATCATGCAAATATTATTAGACTAATGCTATTGAGATCTAAAAATCTAACATAATTCACTGTGACCTTTAAATCGGCTGTAGAGTCTATCAAACATTGAAATATGGTGTTGATCCAATGATTCTTATTAAGTCATATCATTATGTCAGTAAATTATGTCAAATTTTTAGGTCCAAAATAAAATTACTCATATTATTAATAGTGATTCTGATGAGATTAACTCATAATTGAAGGATTCAGATTGTGGCACTGTCATCTCTTTCTTTTTTTTAAATGATTAGAAACCTTCTAATATAGTAAACATCACCTGTAATTACTGCTAACAATAAATATTGAATAAATTTGTAAGTTACCTATAAAGGTCGAATCTAAATTGTCTTAAATTTACAGTTTGCTCCATACTAACCCCACAGCCCACACAACTGTTGTTGTCTTAATACGATGGTTAAGGGATGGCTCCCTAGCCAACAAGAAAAAAATGGTTCGAAAGGTTCTTCTCTTACAACAAGCAAGGTCAGATTAATACTTCTCTAAATAGTGGACTTCCGTGAACTCCACATTCACCATTCCTACGGCAAGTGTCTTCAAGCGAAATTAGCGATGAAAGATTAGCTAGAAACCCCAATATTAGCATCAAAGATCTACTTGGACTCACGAACCTGAGCAAGATAAATGCATCTCTACTCACCGAGGACAAACCAATAATCTCCTCCGTTGCCAAAAAATAAATACTTGGCGGTTTTTTTGGCAAAATTAAAATTCTAGTTCACTTACCCAAAAAAATACGAGCACTTTATGAATAAAATGCTTATGTTGCAGTTTTTTTTATCAGCATATTGCACTTCGAGAAGTTGTTTTGAATGTAGGTCCATACATCCTCTACAACATTAGACTGCACAAAGTGGAAACCAACATAGACCAAAATTCTAGCCATCCATAAAAACCCGAATCTAATGATTTCACCAGGGGTTTCAAGGGAGCTTTGAGGAGAAAAAAAGTGATTACAGTCGACAATGTTATCTTTTCAGAGTTATGGTTGTCTGGCCATTTTGCCTACAATATGCAACTCTTTCTCCAGAATATGAAGGGCTTCCAAAATACAAAGCCAACAAAGAAGAAATATGGCAGTTAGGGATATTCCCCCCCTACAAAATCATAGTCCAAAATGCAAACTTAAGGCAAAATATACTTCCGAGCTAGCCAATCAGTGTGGATCAGTAGTTGCGTTGGTATGAGAAGTCACACACGAATGAGCAGTGCAAAACAGAACTCTTGACAGTTTTAAGTCGAGATAAGAAGCTTTAGAATACGTTGAAAACAAGAATTCCCTTTCATGCAGAAATTACCATCAGGAGGTCGAGCACAGTTTCCAGGATATTACTCGAGGATGACTATCCTAACCATTTGACTGCACAGGTTTTTTAGAGTTATTCTTGCGGCGCACCTTCACGAAAGCCTTCTCCAATTCCTGAATAAACAACAAAATAGGTGAAATGAAGATTTTAAGGTTTGGAGAAACCAAACAGTAAAACTACTGCTACTTTTAAGTCTTTGTGCAAGTTTGACGGGTGATGCAACATTAGAACATCTCCAGCCTTTACCCTTTTTAATACTTTTTTTTTAAAAAAGGGATAAAAATACTTTTAAAAACCTTCTCTAATGCTAGATTCATACTCATAAATCCTTTTTTAAACGAAAGACTCAAATCCTCACCCTTTTCACCAATTGTGATATTACACCCTCCTTTAAAGATCCAATTGTCATATTTACCCACTTTTAAATTTGAATTTGTCCTCATTTAAAAAAAGGTTTCTCTTCTTTTAAATTTGAATTTCTCTTCCTTTAAATTTAAGTTTCTCCATTGGAGAAATCTATACTAAATCAAATTTTTTACTCTTTTTTACTCAAATTTGGGTAAGGATTTGGATCTCCAATGGAGAGGTCTAAATATGACTTTCCCATCACTAAATTCTTAAATATCTGCAAATATCTGGTATAGGGATTCCGCATGCCCATTGGCATGTGTTTTTTTTAGCCTCTGTGATCATGTACTAGAACTGAAAAATCTAACTATCATAACATGGTTTTTATTTGCTATAGGGAACCAGGAACCTTAACTACTTATACATGAAAATATGCATGTTGAGATCTTTCACCACAAGTTATCTGATCCAGTGGAACAGCTTGAAAAATATTCAGCTAAAAAACCACTTAAAAAGTAGCCTTCACATGTCACCTGAGTTTGTTCTTTGTTTGATGTCTCTGCGGTCCAAAGCCTCTCCAAATTGTAATAAGCTCTCACTTTCTCATCAAGAGCATGAACTATCAATGTGCCTAGTCAAAATATATCCACCCAAAATCAAGAAAAAATAAAGATTCAAGAAGCATTTAACAGCCACAAATTTGCTAGAGATGTTCGCCTAGCACAGATATTTAAAAAGACTCTATTATATTAATTTCCCACATTTACTTCTGCTCACAGAACGAAATTTCATCAATTCGAATATCTAAAGTAAAATTCTCATAGCCTTTACTACTCATGTTTATGACATGTTAGCTGCAAGCAAGTCAAAAAGATGGATTCCGTATCATTAGAGACATTATGTGTTATTACACACGATACAATCCATAATTCAGCCCAACAGGAAAAAAGGAAAAAAAAAAAAAGAGTAAATTTAATATAGTACTTTGATTGTGATCGTCAAATAATGCTACCATTTATCTCACATTGTACATGGCATTGGAATCATATCCATGTAATAAGTCAAAAGTCATTGGCCACCAAAACTGAATTTTATTAGCATATAATACTGTGCTCCAAGGTTCTGTCTACATGCCACTGGTACATGGGGTATACCGTATACATATTTCACTATCCCACTCATAAGTGTGAGACCAATCTTCTTTTACATGATAGGCTGAGCTGGCCAATGTCTTAATTTAAGTCTTTCCAGACCTTCACACACAAACTTACCCCAATTAAAAATATCCAACAATAACCAAATCAACCCACTCCTGTGTAAAACGCATTAATCAAGTGGACTCAAAAAGAAAAGGCGTACCAACTTACCAAAGCAGGTGAAGGGTGCATGTGTGCAGCTAAGTCAGACATAATGCTGATACCCCACCAAATGGAAGAAAGACAGAAAGGCCAATGTCAAGAAATAAGAAAAGTTGTTAGCCAGTCTGCTCCTCTAATGTGCCATGCAAGCCAACACAATAACCTTAAGAAACCAACAGCACTTAGAAGAAACAGGCCTCAAACAAGATTTCCTTTTTTCAATAGCCAGATGTCAATTTGAACCTTTTTTTCCTCTAAATAAATAAAAAGCTTTCAGTGAGATGCCTATATTTGGAAATGTTGGTTTGAAAACTACGAAGGACTCAATTCTGGCAAACACCGCATCAAGTAGAACTCCTCTCGAGGCCAAACAAGGGAACACTCATTTACCCTTAGGCAAACTATATCAGCTCGAACTCCCATGCACAATAGACATCAAATTAAGCTAACAGCCTGTATCCAACCAACACCAAGTCTTCTACTCTAATGTGGTTCATGCAGATGTTCGGTTGGCTTGAAAAAAAAATCCTCAAAGTTAAATAGATATAAGGTATGCTAAGCACTAACGCATCTTCAGTTCGGGAACAAAAAAAAGAAACTGGTAAAACAAACAGAGGATAATTGCCCTAGAGTAAATAATTTCGAAACACAGTGAAAGGCTTCTGAAAGACTGACCCAAATACATACCAGAGTCGATGACAATCCACTTGCCTCCCTCTTGCCCTTCCACACTGGGCAACAACATCCTCTTGGCTCCTTTTTGCTTCTGCTTAACCTATCCGTTTGAACCAAAAAACCACAAGGCAAATCAACAATATTTTCTTTCGATATCCGCAATAAACGCATTTAAAATCACCTAAGTAGCCGAATATCACCATTTCTAGGATTCTTCACTTCTAAAGAGTCCCAAATCAAAAATCCAAAAAGTTTGAAAACATCACAAAATTAAACCGCTAACCAAACATTCATTGCAGTCCTCCAAATATACACTCCTTTGATGTGTGAGTGTGTGTGTGTGTGTTGGTGCTCCACATGAAACAGGGGAGAGACGAACCTGCCTTGTAAATTAGGGCTTGAGCTATATTGCGGACGTGCCAAGGGGATCGACCGGTGGCGACGATCATGAAGTCGGCGAAATCGCAGTGCTTTTTAACGGGAATGACTGTGATGTTGTCTGCTTTAACATCGCTGAGAACTTTCTCGACCTCTTGCAGGTCCAGTAAGCCTTTGTTGTCACCGATATCAGTTGTCTCAGTCAACACCGAACATAGCGTGCGATTGAGATTCGACAACCCTAACCTCCATTGTTGAATAAACGAGGAACATGATGGTGAAAGAGGAAGAGAACGAGATCTCAGAGCTGCCCACATGAGCTCGCACCAACACTCTACCAGTCCAGGGATTGCTGTGAGGTGGTTTCTGGCTGGGTCTGGGTTCGTTCATAATATATTGGAAAATTTTCAATCACACCCCTCTAGTTTACCACATCTTCAAGGATATCCCTTTATTTTCTGCATCTTCACTAACAACCCTATCAAATTAAAAATATTAACTATAATGAAATTTTATTAAATTTTTCATGACATATTTGAGGACAAACTTCATCCACACCCTATCTAGATAAGAATATCTTCAATGATACCCCCTATGTTTTATAATTCTTTTTACGTATTAAAATTCAGGTTAATTAAAATTCAATTCAATCTAATTAAAATTTATTTTTTTATATATTAAAATTTGAGTAAATTAAAATTTATATTTTTTTATGTATTAAAATTTGAGATAATTAAAATTCTATTTGAACCAATTAAATTTTTAATTGGCTCAAATAGAATTTTAATTAGCCCAAATTTTAATACATAAAAAAATATAAATTTTAATTTACCCAAATTTTAATTGACACAAATTATAATAAATAAAAAAATATAAATTTTAATCGACTCGAAAACGAATTTTAATCGACGCTAATAACTCGGGTAGAATTCAAACCAGTTCAAATTTTAATACGAAAAAAAAAATTAATAAGCTCGAATTTTAATACGTTAAAAAAATAAAATTTCATCAGCTTCAATCGAATTTTAATTTTTTCAAATTTTAATATGTAGAAAATTAAATTTTAATCAGCTTGAAATTTTAATAAAATTTTATGTAGAAAAATTACCTGATGTTTATATAGGGGCATTTTTGGTATTTATATGAGATTTTTTTGTTAGAAATAATAGTTTAGTGGTATGAGGTGTCAGTGATATTTAAATATAAATTAGAAGGGGTGTTAGTAATATTTTTGATAATAAAGGAGGTGTATTTAAAGATATAGTAAGCTAGGAGAAGCGTGACTGAAATGTTTCCTAAAAAAAATATTTTATAAAAAATTGATGTAAGACCGAAAAATTTTACTACTGTTTTACTGTAAATAAATTTTCTTATATATATAGGAATTCTAATGCAATAAAAGCCTAAAATGTAAAAAAAAAATAAAATCCATAACAAATACTCTCTATTTTTAGAGATATGTTTCAAAAAAATTTAAAATTTAACAATTAAAATTAAGGAATATATCTACTAGTCCGTCTAACCTTGACGGTGTCCAGGAAAAAAATTATAGTGTACTTCTAAAATTTAGTATATTAATGGATATTTTTATAATTTGTGGGTCATTTTGCAATAAAAAAATTTATAACTTTTGTAATAATTATTTTTATTACTTTTTGTAGTAGTTTCTGCCAGACCACGAAACCTAGTTACCAATCTATTGTGCAGGCAAAAGGAAAATGAACTTGCCAAGAGCCATTTGGAATTATTCCAAGTTAAATTATATAAGAAGAAAAGTAAACTACAAAATTGAAGTGAAGGGTACCACTAGGGCTATCAAAATTTGATACTACACGAATCGACACGAATTAAGCGGGTTTGAGTGAGATCTTAACGGGTTTAGGTAATAAACAGGTTAACACGCCAAATACGTTTAATAAACGGGTCGTGTTCGTGTGAGACCTGTTAAACCGTTTATCACACGTTTATCCGTTTAAATACAATTAATATAATAATAAATTAATAATTATTTAGAAAAATTAACAAGAAAAAAAAAGTAAACAAATCAATAAAAAAAACAAATAAAGTAGTAGTTCAAAAGCAAAAGAGAGGAGACGAGGAACACTTCAAAGACAAACGCAAATCTTATTTGTCCCATATTGAAAAATAAGAGGAGATGGGGAGGGTTGAGTTGTCTATAAAAAGTAATGGTCTCTTACTTTTATTTTTTAAGCCTTCAAGTCTTATTTGTCCCACGTTGAAAAATGAGGGGAGATGGTGAGAGTTGAGTTGCCTATAAAAAACAATGACTTCTTACTTTTTTTTTTAAGTCTTCAAAGTCTTATTTGTCTCACGTTGAAAAATGAGGGGAGGGGAGATAGGGAGGGTTGAGTTGCCTATAAAAACTAAACAATCTTTTTTTTGAGGTTAGTGCAATTGGCAATAAAAAAAATAGAGTATTAAAATTTGTTAATATAATTTTTTTAAAATTAAACGGGTTAAACGAGTCGTGTTGTGTTACCCGGGTCGTTCGTGTTGAGATTTTTACGCGTTTATTAAACCTGTCGTGTACGGATTTATATATTTTTCACCTGTTTAACCCGACACGTTTGACACCCCTAGGTACCACCTAAGCTAAGCAATTCCAAGCTTTTAATTGTCTCAGGTACAATCACCATTGGCCCAATCCTACTTTTATTGAGGCCATTTATAGCTAATAAAATGCCTATTGCTACTAGTACCCAGGAACTAAGATTAGGAAATCAAGCATTTGGGCTAAGATTTTTTGCATTGAGAATGGGGGAGGATGGATAACTGTATATGATTTTAAATATCACAACAAATGCTATGCATCCAGAGAAACTTTTTGATAGTCAAAAAAAAAAAAAAATACATAAAGTTTGATGGCTCCTTTCAATTTGTGTTATTTTTTTTGTTTAAGCCAAAGAAAAATACAAACTTACATTTCAAGCTCACCCTTGCCCTTAAAAAAAAAAAAATAATAAGTAAAGTTTGATGGCTGTGGGCAGGGCAGCCAAGTGAAGAAATTTATTTTCCTTTCCTTTTTTTTGAGAGAAGAGTTAGCCAAATTTGGAGGGTATATTCTAGACATGATTTGAACAAGTTGGTGGCATATTCAGTTGAAGCGCCTCCCTCCTGGAGAAAGAAAGAAAGAGAGAAAGAGACAGACCGTTGGTGAAAAGAACACGCCAGAGAGAGAGAGAGAGAGAGATAGAGGAGAATAACGAACCATCTCTTCGATTCTCTCTCCACCCTATTCAACTTCTGCAAACTACTTCTGGCCTTTTTCTCTTCTTCCTCAGGAATCTTGAATTGAGATCACCAGAAATTTTGAAGGGATCATTTAATTAGAGGGAGAAAGAGAAAAGATTTGGTGGATTCTTGAGGGAGAAAGAAAGAGGCGATGGAGGAATTGCCGGCTGTAACAGGGTCGACTGTGTCTTCATCTTCGTTATCAATATTAGCGAATTATCCTCTCATTTCTGCTTTCTTAGCTTTCGCTATCGCCCAATGCATCAAGGTCTTCACCACCTGGTAATTCCCCTGTTTATCAACACACAAATGCATATCTATGAAATTCGTTAAATGCAATAAACCATTGAAAACTGGATCTTGATTCTGTTAGGTGACTCTGTCATGTATTATTTCTTCTGGGTTCTGGTTGGATGCTATTATTCAATTCCAGTTCAATTCTTGCATATCTGGTCTTTGAACTTTCTTGCTATGGGTTAGCTATAATTTTTCGTAAATTTCTGATCCTTTGGTGGAGAAAGAACAAAAAAAAAACAGACATTTGTCACCTAGACCTAGTCAAGTTCTTATATTCAAGTGTGCATTTGTTTACTAAAAGTAGGTTTTCTGAGGTTTGTATTGACCGTGTTTTCGTCTTAAAAGTGACAAGCAGTGCATGGCACTCTGATTAGACTCTTGAGATTAGCTTATTGTATGATAACCCGGTGGGCTGCTTGCTCCTAATGAAAAACATAGGTCTAAGTGCCAATGGAAAAGAAACCAATATGTGAAATTATGCAGTCAACTGAATTCTTTGGTTACATTTTAATAAATATCTTGTTTGGTACATTCTCTTACTTGGTTTGGATCCAATTCTTGGTGTAGCTAAGAATTGTAACTGTTTATCCTAAGAGTCTTAATATGTCATAGATTTGCAGGTACAAGGAGAAACGATGGGATCTGAAGCGACTTGTTGGATCTGGTGGGATGCCATCATCCCATTCTGCAACTGTCACTGCTCTTGCATTGGCCATTGGTTTGCAAGAGGGCTTTGGAGGATCACTGTTTGCAGCTGCACTTATCTTAGCATGTGTTGTATGATCCCTCTCTTCATCTGGTCATAATCCATCTCAAGAAAGCTAGAATATATTAGTTGTGGATGCATCTATTTGAAAATGTTATTATCTATATCACTGCCTTGATTCCACTTTCATGTGACCTGTGTTTTGTCTATATCAGTTGTAGAAAAATGTAACTTTGTGTCATTTCCGATATATAACTACAAGAAGTCATGTGCCCCTATTTCTAATTTTAGAAGAAATGGGGTCATTGCCTGGTTTGGTTCTTGTTAATTGAGTGGCTGCTATAAGTTCAAACTCACAATTTCACTTTTTTGTGAGAAATAGCCAAGCAAAATTAGCTGTGCGTGATTAAACACCTCCTGTCTTCCAAGTATTTTTGTTTAATGTATTTGCGTTTAATTTTTTGGGTTTTTCATAATTTTGATTGTTGATTCTTGTGCCAGTAGCACAAATACTTAAAAAAGAACACGATGCGAATGTCCAATGCACTTATTTATAACTACAATTATTTTTTCTGATTTGTCCAGTGATGCTATGTTGTTTGTTATGATTTAGCTGATCAATTTTTTAGTGAACATACCACAATAGGAAAAAAAAAAGAAAAGTAANAAATGTCCAATGCACTTATTTATAACTACAATTATTTTTTCTCATTTGTCCAGTGATGCTATGTTGTTTGTTATGACTTAGCTGATCAATTTTTTAGTGAACATACCACAATAGGGAAAAAAAAGAAAAGTAAAAGAAAGACTAAGAGGTCACTGTATGAGGAAAATGTTCACTTCTGGTATTGTATTATAGATGCTTTATGTCTCTTACGAGCAGAATTTTGTGGCAGGTGATGTATGATGCAACTGGTGTGAGGTTACACGCTGGACGCCAGGCAGAGGTTTGGATTTAGTTGATTTATTCATTTATTTTTGAATAGATATACAACATAGCTGCTGGAACTGCCTTCTAGGCATTTTACTTATTCACATGTTTGAATTGGGATTTGTATTTAGTTGATTTATTCATTTATATTTGAATAGATATACAACATAGCTGCTGGAACTGCCTTCTAGGCATTTTACTTATTCATATGTTTGAATCGGGATTTTTCAGGTTTTGAATCAAATTGTATACGAACTTCCCGCTGAACATCCTCTGGCTGAGATCAGACCACTACGTGAACTTCTTGGCCACACCCCTCCTCAGGTTTGTTTTGATGTCTTAAGTGGTAATTGTATTCCTCATCATTAATCTTTGTTATGGATGGCTTTGTTTTTAAATAGATCCTCGTCATACTACTTTGATTACTCAGAGCAAATTAAGATGAAAACCCATCCATTTGTTATGTACTGATGATAATCTTTGTATATTAATTTTTATTTTTGTTTTTTGCTTTTCTGGATATTTGCCCGTTTCTCCTTTGTAATAAGGAATTTTGGAAAATGCCACCATGCATATTATACTTATGCTACTGTTCACCGTGGTTTGCAATCAATAGTGTAAACTGTAGAGAAATGTAGGTTACATTCCATGAGCAAACACAAATATGAACCAAAAAACTTATACTCTACACAATAAAACATATAACCTTGAGATGAACTTGAGTCCTTTCTGATTATTTAAGTTTATTTATGCCACGTTGCTCACAGGCCATTGGTCATTGTGTAGTTTCCCTGCCTTAACTGCAACTCTCTTTCTCACCAGTCTCCACCCCTTCCTGTTGGCATGCTTGCTTTTGTGCAAGTCAAAAAGTTGATTACAGCTGCATTTTGGGTCTTTACTGTCTTGGATGACTTGCCTTCCACTATTGTAATTGGTGCCACCTGCACCTTTTGTTGGGTGCATTTGTTTCTCTTTGATAGCTTTTATTATATTGCTACAGATCTATCAATGCCTTACGGGTTACCACAGTAATATAAAGGTGCATGTGTTGCCAAAAGCATGTTCCAATTGCTTGAAAATACACAAAACGCGGCGAGAAGACCGAGTATTAAGAAAAAGGACTTTACAGTATCTTTTCTTATGGTTATGCTTTGTAGAGGNCCATGTTCCAATTGCTTGAAAATACACAAAACGCGGCGAGAAGACTGAGTATTAAGAAAAAGGACTTTACAGTATCTTTTCTTATGGTTATGCTTTGTAGAGGAAGAGACAAGGCAAATGGAAACTTGGTTATTCATTGAACCTTTAATAAAAAAAAGGCCAATTCTATTTGCTTATCCCTGTTGAGCTATCGCTTGAGCCTTGAGTACATTATTGGCAAATTATGTTCTTTCTCACAGGCTTTTTGTAAGATGAAACTTGTACCTTTTAAAAGTTGGAGTTGATTTTCTGCAAAACTCAGACGTTCATCTTTCCTACCCGTATAGGGACTTCATGCTGTGAAAGATTAAGGTCTATTAAATTTGGACTTTTAGTACACCTATCATGGCGGATTGCCCATATTTATTTATAGAACTAATATTTCTTTTTATCTGCTTTGCCTAACGTACTACACTTCTCTCTTCTGAGAACTTTGTTGTTATCTTTGCATAAACATTTATAATTTGTTTCTCCTCGTCCTCTGACTTCCCTGTAAGATCAATCCCGTCTTTAATGATAAATTTTATAACAGCCTGTAGGTTGGAGATTCCTTCGGTGCAACTATATATAAAGCTGATGAAAATTTTAGTTTTTGTTAGCGAAAACCCTTCTGAATTTTCAAATGTATTTTGCAGGTTGTTGCAGGTGGGTTGCTCGGAATTACCACGGCAATAATTGTACATTTAGTCGCGGGCTTTCGTATTAAAGCTTGATCCTCCGGCAGATTACATTTCACAGCATCTGTGATCATTGATAGGATCCCTCTGTGGTTGAGGAATGCAACTGGCAGACCTGTCTTTTAACATTGAATACAATATTGTTGTCTGTAACGCAATTAGTGGATGCCTGTATTAGGTTACCATCTTTTCATTTGAACTATTACATTGAAGGTGCATTTATTGATATTAGCGCTTGAAGCAAAGAAATGATACATCTAGACATGTAAGGGGCAAAACATTTCTAGCATGACTTTGTTACCTAGAACTGGCATATTACCTTGTGGATAGTAAGAATATCGCAAACAATACTATCTAAAATAATTACTCAAAATATATTTAAATATTATATTATCTCATTTAACTAATCACTTTTTTAAATTCACTCTAATAACGTTTTCTATTTTATCTAACCACTTCAACTAACTTTACCTAACTTTCAATAATAAAATTCAAAAAATAACAATTTAACTATACATTGTACAAATTTAATCAATTATAGGCTACAACAGAGAACTCATCTCCTAAAAATTACTACTCTTAAACCAAATTCTCTCAAATTAAATCACAAAATTCAATACAAAATCACTTCAAAACTTTCGAGTTTGATCAAACTAGATGTCATCATCTCTCCATCGATCTTCTCATCCAAACACTAGACCAACAACTTCTGAAGTAACTAAGGATAAGTGGTTAGCTAGATGTAGCTAGTGAAAATGGGGATATAGAAAATAGATAGGGTAATAGTTAGTCTGTTGGAGCCACATTTTAAAGAGAAACTATCTAAAACAACTAAAAAAAAGGTTTTAACTAGCCTTTTGGAGTTGCTCTAACCGAGTATTCTTTGTATTCATAGTAAATTGTTTTGTCAAATTTTTCACTAATAGTGTGGATTGACTTTTATGCGCCATTTGGTAGGAAATATGGAAGGTAGAAATAATGAAAAGTAGGAGAAATACAATTTTTATCTTTCAATGATAAAAAGTAGAAATGATACACCTTCTTTTCTTTGTATTTGGTTGGATAGATGAAAAATAAAAATGACTAATTTTTTTTATTTTTTTTTGTACTGGCTAAAATTAAGAATGACAATCGAATCGTGTCATGTCAAATTCATGTTGAATCATAAAATAATGAGTCTTTTATATTTCTTATTAACGTGTCGAGTCATTTTTAAGTTCGTGTTAAATTATAATCAAATTAGTGTCAAAATTCATACTGAGTTTGAGTCGTGTCATCGTATTGAGTTGAAAATTTTCACACCTAGTTAAGATGAAAAAAATATTTTTTTATTTTTATTTTTAAAATTATATATATATTTATTAAAAGATATATAGACAAATAAAATATATGTCACCATAAATAATTAACTTTTCATACATTTTCCTTTCAATTTTGGAAGGATTAATTTTGGTGAGTTAAAAGAAAAATTAATTCATCCACTTTTTCATCCTTCCTATTTTCCTTCCTTACCAAACATGATGTTTTATTTATCCCTCTAACTTTTCATCCTTCAAATTTTCTATCGTACCAAACGGAGGATTATTGTAAATCTCCGCAACGATGAGCCACCATTGTAGTTCAGTGGTATCACCTGTCTCCCACAATGTCCCTAGTCAGGGATTTGGGGGCGGGGACTGGGAATGTAGGGCACTAGCTCTGGCATGGATTAGTGAAAGATTTACAGAGAAAAAAATGCTAAATCATATGGCGTGTAGCTGACAGATAAAGAGACACTGAAAATATAAGCATCTACATGAAAATCAACCAGGTAAAGCGCAAGTATGGACACAACAAATCTCTGCAAACCTCAAGTAACACCTATCCAATATTCCAATCTAAAAGAAGGTGATTCAGGAGTGCTTCTAACCTAGGATTCTTGTCTTGTAAAATGTTTAAGAAGCCTCAAAAAAAATTCAGTTAATTAAATGTCATTGACCACATTCAGTGTTATTTTCCTACTGTAGTTCCCATCAACATAGAGAAGCAAAGTTCGCACCATGCTTGTGCTGTTCAGTATGGCCAGTGCTTGAAGGGGAAGACAGCNCATTCAGTGTTATTTTCCTACTGTAGTTCCCATCAACATAGAGAAGCGAAGTTCGCACCATGCTTGTGCTGTTCAGTATGGCCAGTGCTTGAAGGGGAAGACAGCTCCTGATCCTTCATGCAAGTATTGAATTATTTGCCAAGCATATTCATTTACTGTAGGCCGGTGGATTGGACTCCTAAAACGGAAGAGAAAACCCTTTTCATCTCCAAAGTAGGATCTCCAACCACTACTGACTTCACATGCCAAGCAATGTGCTCGTCGGGCCTAACTAGAATGGCTCCTCTGTGTGTCATCTGGCAGATATCCCACCATGACAATGAAGTTGTTGACCGCCTCACTTCCACAACGTCTATGTAATTTTCCCAAGGGTCAAATGCTTCCTTACTTCTTGCAGCTCCATCAACAGTACCATCTGGCCACACCACACACACCTTTACGGAAGAATTGAATTCCTCTGCTATCTTGAATGTAACATGAGCTAGGCGGTAGGATGACTCCACTGGTGCAATAATAAGAAGAAACTCAACTTTATCCACTGCTACGAGATCCAATGTGGAAAACGTTTCCTACAAAACATCTTAAAGCATAAAGAAAACAAGAATGGAAAATGTGATGCAAATCCATCAGCACAAGTTTCAAAGTTGAAACCCACTTAGAGACTAAAAGATAAGGTTTGGTAAAATAGAAAACTCGTGACTTATAGGTTGTTAGTGACAGGAATGAACAATGGGAGTCAGGAAATTAAGACTTCCAGAATCATCAAGATACACAAGGTTGGAATGTTAGCTGCTTGGCAAAAGGAAAAAGGGAACAAGAAAAACAATGCACAGTGCTCCTGAAAGAGAAGGGAGAAGGATAAAAAAGGAGATGAAACTGTGCATACCTCACTTGATAGTTTTGCTAACAACCTTACATTCATATGAGGCAGCCTTGAGCCTGGATCTGCAGAGGGAACATAGTCCCGCCTACGACCAGTAGGGGCTTCTGGTGCTTCCAACACACTATCATCATCTGGTACAATTGCTCCCTTAAGGTACCTAAAATGAAACATACGAGTAAGAAAGGCATCTGGAAGCTCGTGAGCCCTGGCTGAATCAATAATATCTCATAGATGACTCATTTTCTCCTGATGTAATGACTAGATCACATAGCCATAAAAGAAATTACACAATTCTAAAACCACAAGTTCAGATGGACTTATCACAGAAACATCCAGGTTGTTGGAACAGACACGTCAACGTCGATATCCAACACCTCAAAGTACGTCAGCACAACAATGGCATGAGCTGATGATAATTAGCTACAGTTTGTAAAGTAATGGCAAATATCACTTTTCCCTCCTGCGGTACACCCCTATGGTTCAAATGTAACCACAGAACCTTGTCTTTTTGGACCAAGATACAGTCATAACATTTTTCGTCTAACTTAAATGTCTTATAATAGGGAAAGTCAACTGAGAGACAGAATAATCGCCATATATCTACTCTTATGTGTAGGGGGCACTCAGGTCATTTTGTCATCATCATTATGGAGTTATTTGTGCATATCATGTGGTTATCTTTGAACTATAGACGGTAACAAGTAAAAAGAAATGTACGATGGGGTAGAATGTAAGCCCAGATAACTATAATACCTGAAACCTAGATCTTCAGCAGGAAATTGGAGTTGAAGGCTCTTTCCTTCTTCAAAGATTCTCCTTAGTTTAGCAAGTCTCAAAGAACCAAATGGATTGTTCTCATTCAAGACAAAATCTGAAAGCTGTGCTCGACCTATAGTGAAAAGCCCATCCAGAATCACCCTCTGTAGTCCAGACGGTAATATGGAACCAAACGTATTATTGATAACTCGATGCACTGTCAAAAAAGAAGAAAGATATGGACCACTAAAAAGCAAGGAGGATTTCTTTGACCCACATTTTGAGTGGTTGAACCAAAGACAAATACGGGACCCAATTTTCAATACAATGGAATTTGTTCCCATACCTGAATTTGCAATAGTTGGATCAAGACCAAGGACAGCAGGAACTTCCATTGCTGCTCTAAAATTTTGGACACTGAGTTCAGTATTGAAAATTGCAATCTGGTAATGGAAAGAGTAGGATATTAATAAATATCAAATTATAAGTATAGTATTAACAGAAACATAGAATTAAAAAATATTTAAAGGAAGAGCACTACCGGCCTACGTTCCATTTCATAAGTGGCAACAAGTGACAATGGAGCAGTACCCTTGATAACAGAGGCTAATTTCCAGGCAAGATTATGAGCATCCTGAATGCCAGTATTCATTCCTGCATACGTATAGAGTTTGTAATTGATCTCTTTCTCGAGTTCCAGAAAATTAAGAACCTATTCGCAGTCTAGTAAAACTAACAACATACTAATTCATTGTCAAACCTCATACACATGTCAAACAATGACAATGGACACTCCCTAACTGGAAAATTATACAAAAGAACAAAATATTATGACACATAATTTTACTGCATTTTCTACTATCATTGGCACTCTAGAAAAATGGAGGGAATTNAAACAATGACAATGGACACTCCCTAACTGGAAAATTATACAAAAGAACAAAATATTATGAGACATAATTTTACTGCATTTTCTACTATCATTGGCACTCTAGAAAAATGGAGGGAATTTTGATATACCATACACGGATGCCAAACACTGACGTTTTTGTTCCCCCTCCCTTTTCCTTGATTCTCAGTGCCCTTAAGTTCTACGAAGTTTATCATATACTTTCTCCTTTCTCTATCCCTCCTGTATTTATAATCAGAGTTCCTCCATGCATGTACAAATAAGATGAAAAAAGGAATATCCACTGGTTCCAAATGCAACTAAGTACAGTACATTGCTGTCCATGGGGTCTCCATACCTTGCAGCATTCAAAGAAATTCTCATTACAAATGCAAAATAAATTTTCAGACCGCACAAAACAAGTTGCATACCAAAACCACCAGCTGGAGGAAAACGATGAGCAGCATCACCAGCTAATATTATTCGGTTGTCACAAGATACAAATCTCTCAGAAACTTCAGCATGCATCACCCATGGCTTTATATCTATCACATCTATGTCTGCAAGCTCTTGGCCAACCAATTTGATGATTAACCTTTCACACATCTACAAAAAGTTGAATCCTCCGAACAATACGATTATAATGGAATCATCATATCCTTACTTGCTATACTATACCATTCACCTAAACCTCCTAAACACCCAGTACATCTGATATGCAGAATATCAATAGCAAAAATCCCTTATATTCTTATTACTTTACCAAATAGCATTCTTCTGTATATCTTCTTGACCGTAATAGATCATTTGGTAACGACAGAAAAATACCTTGTAGCTGAAATCCTCAAGCTTCTGCTGAGGTGGATAAAATGGTACCTGCAAGGCAAAAGATAACGACCAAATTGTAGGTTTATTGTGCAGGTTACAGCAGTCATAAACCAACAGAAATCCCTGAACATATATCACAGCCTGCACTACCTGCAATACAAATTCCCCTTGCTTCAGATCATGAGCAACAAGAACCCCTATACCTTCAGTATTAAAAATAAAAAATAGCATGCCAGGTCTTTCACTGAGCAAGTACTGTCCAAGGTCTTGGCTTGAGAAATGGACACTAACAAGATTCTGCAAGTCCTTTTCGCCTCTCATATCTATTCCTACAAGCTTCCTCACAGTACTTCCTGCACCATCTGTCCCAACTAGGAAACTACACTGGATATCATTCTCCATATAAACCCCGTCCTTGAGGAAGGATGCAGTTACAGTAATGCAGCGGTCAGTGGCACCAATTGATACACACTCATGTCCCATTAATATCTCCCTTTCCTTGAGTGGCCCTTGATTAAGACTTTTGAGCCCTTCACAAGTACCAACATGGAAGCTAAGGTTTTCGAGCTGCTTAAGTAGTAAGTTGGTCAGTTTGTACTGTGAGAAGTGTGCAACAGAGATTGGGCTGACAACCCTGTCAAAATCTAGAAACCCATGAGTTTACATTAAATTATAACCATAAATAAGGAAACTGTCACAATAATGGCCAGTTTTTTATAATCTCTACACCCCCATGACCAATAATAGAGACAGCAAAATAAGAAATTCTGGAAAATCATCCATCCAGGTGACCAGATTGTGATACTACAGATATTCATCCTACCTTGAGGTTGCATATGGTCAACTGACCCAAGAAGAGGACCAGTGAGAGATATACAGTATACAAACTTTCTCCAAAAATCTACTGGTGGTTGGGACCTCTGGATCTCCTTTGTGAGGCCATCCAATTTGCGGAAGATCTGATAAAGAAAACTACATCAAATCCAAATTACACTTTTCAATGGAGTTGTTCATATTTTCAAGACGAATCAGACTACAATCTCAATGTAAGAAAACAAACCTCCATAGATCGGTTGTTGATGAAGTGTGCCTGTGGATGTCTTGGAAATGTCCTGCTCCTCTCCAAAACTGCACACTTAACGCCTAGGAAAACCATGAAGCATCAGTTAATCTGAAGCAACTACTTTCATTGCATTCTCAAATGCAAAACACCAAATTCTAACAATGGTGGTCTTAGAATACCACAAGGATCGCTGCCATTGCTCTAACAACAATTTTTATGCTACAAGGGCAACCAACACCCAAAACAAGCCTACAATACCAAAACAAATAATTCAGACAAGTAACTTGATGACTAAAAAAGTTCCATGTGTATTTGGAAAAACAAACAAAGTTCTGAAAAATAAGCAAGCAATTCACCAGATTTGGCTAGTAAGTTATGGCGGTTGAATACCAAAAGGCAATGCTAATATTAGTCAATACAACACCAAGTAAATGGATAGAGAGCATAAGTTTGCAAGTGGTCTTCGCTTTCAGTTCATGATTTTTCTTAGCAAGCAAACAGAGGAAAAGGGTATATTCAAAATTGGTAAAGAGAGTTCAGTAGATACCTAATTTGGTGAGAAGTATAGAGAGAACGAGCCCAACTGGTCCTGCACCAACGATCAGAACTGGCAGGATCTCATCCTGGCCATTGATGTTCTTCAAGTCTGATAAGCCTCTTCCTTGCATATACCTAAATTGATCCGCATTGAATCTGGTTTCGATACTGCAGAGTCCCTTGAACTTTCTCGTAAACTCAAAAACTCCCATAGATAGAGACACAGGCTCAAAGAGGGAAAGATGGCTTTCACAGAAACCTAGAAACAATATTTCAATTNGAGTCCCTTGAACTTTCTCGTAAACTCAAAAACTCCCATAGATAGAGATACAGGCTCAAAGAGGGAAAGATGGCTTTCACAGAAACCTAGAAACAATATTTCAATTACAAACACTCACTTTTTCCTACTAGTTTTGGACTTTCAGTTGCTTAGCTGTGACAAATCTCGCAGGTGAGGAGTTTGTGAGCATTGAGACTGATTAAGATGGTGAGCAATCGATTGCCCAAAGCTCTGCGAAGGGTGAGAGTGAGAACGAGAACGAGAGAAAAAATTTTAAGAGTCAATAAGAGTGAGCGACGGAAGAGATCAGAGAAGAGAGAGTTTTTTTTGTTTGGTGGTAGAGATCAGAGAAAGATGATGGAGCATAAAACCCCACAGTTCGAATCTTCGCAATCTCGTCTTTCGAGTCCGTCATGAGCAATATGATCATAAACATGTCACCACCACCACCGCCATTCCAACCCCTAAACAGAACTTTTAGATTGAAGACTGAGAAATTTTATTTCCTAAAACATGCATTTGTGATTTGTGTTGTGTGTTGTGTGCGTGTGCAACATGTATGCAAAGGTTTCAAGCCTTGATGCCAACTGGGGTAAACTTCCCAGAAACCCCAATAAGGTCCTCCGTAATGCATCGGGGCATGAAATAAATGACTTGATTTGGAATGTAAGGGGTGTAGGCAGTGGTGATTTTGGCAGTATTTTTCTTAGGCATTTTGACGAACACTTCATGTGCATTACGAAGGGATGGGGCTATAGCAGCCTACGGTGGAAAGGAAAGAGGAAAGAGAGAGTTCGCCGAAGGTCTTCAAGATGTGTGAGCAGTGTGCGTGTGTGGGTGAGGGGTGCGAGCAACGTGGGTGGGTGTGTGCGATGTGTACGGGTGTTGTTGGGGCTGGGCTGGGCTGGGATGGTAGAGAGAGATAGAGTGAGTTACCTGAGTGAGAGTGGTGGTGTCCCCAGATTTGGTGTCGCTGGTGGATGTCTCGCGTGAGAGAGGGAGAGAGAGAAGAGAGATGGGTGGTGATTTTCAAAACACAAAAAGGGTGCTGGTGGCGTTGGTGGATCTGGGTGGCGTTGGTGGATGTCAAGCGTTAGAGAGAGGAGAGAGGAGAGAGGAGAGAGGACAGAGGAGAGCGTGAGGGAGGATCGAGAGAGACAGAAATAGAGAAAAGAGGAAAAGTGAAGGGGCTGGTGATTGTTTTTTTTTTTTAAAAAGTAATGATTGAGATACAAGACATTGAAAGAGATTTAAAAAAAGAGATGATTGAAATACAGAACATTGAAAGATAATATGGGATGCGATGGAATTAGGGAAAAAATATGTAGAAATAACAATTTAAACTCTCAGCTGTTTTATGATATAGACTAATGTTAACTCTTACATAAAAATATAATAAAATATAAAATTCAATCGTCTAAAAAATAAATTATATTATATTTAATAATAATATTTAAAATTTATTTTTACTCATTATTTTTTTAAAAATATCAACCAAATTTTCTCAAAATATATAATTCGATAAAATTTTTTTAACATGTATATATTATCGTGTATAGACATATGTTAAATTACATATTAAATAGATATTAAATAATTGAACATGTGATAAAAATGAGTGATGTGATATTTTTGGGTGAAAAAATATATGAAAGATAAAAATTCAAATTATATCAAAAGTTAAACTTAAAATAAAGAAAGCAAAACAGACGGCGTACATTTAATTTTAAAAAAATTGACTTAATTTTTTGAGTTGATATTATACCGAGTAGTGATAGAGTCCCGATGGGGCTCTAGCTCCTCTGCTTTTAGCAGTCTAACAACACACATGCGGTTAATTGAGACGACACCATGTAAGTGGCCCCACAAAACAGCCTATAAATGAAACGGTGTCGTTTCAGCAGCAGCCCTTCCACGTTAAAGAAATTAGACGTTTTTTCCATTAAACAAATCAGCCTTGCCTTCATCAACGGCATCCTTCGTCTTCCACAGCAACGAACCTGTGCCAAATTGCTACCGAAGTCTCTCTGTCTCTCTGAAGCTCTCCAGTCAATCGGCCCAACGACGACACAAGCAACTGCTCCAATCATCGTCTTCCTCATTGAAGGGCTCTTGATCAAGGTAAATAACCTGATCAATTTTCACTATTTTTTTTCTCCACTCACTCAGATCTATGTTTTTTGTTTATGATCTATGGTTATAGATATGATCAGATCTAGGTTTATTTTGGGATCCATGGTGTGTGATATGATATGTTATTTGCACTTTAGAATATGTGATGTATTGTGGGTTTGGTTCATTGTGAATTGAAAGTATTTGGGCTCCTAAAATTAATAGATGTAGTTACTATAATCACTTTCTAATATACAAAAAATGAATGGTATAATTTTATTTTTTGCATCCAGTTTGACCCATAGTCTTCTTATTTTTTCATCTTAATAAATTTGTTTTAATTTGTTGGAGAAATCTTCTCTAAATTACTCCTTATTTGATAGAGGAAAAATTAGATCATAGTCTTAATGGAGTATCAGATTCATTTGTACATTAAGTTTGTTGGATTAGACTATGTGTCAATTTCTTAACATATTTTGGGAATCAATATGCAGGCAGAATGTATGGCTTTAATAAAAGGGATGAAGCTGGTTTTGTGATGTAATTTGGAGGATCATTAGATTTTCATTGAGTCTAATTCGCAAATTCTAGTCCAAATGATATTGAGGAAGGTTGTTGTGTCATGGAGGTGTCAGTATATTTTGGATCAGTTGGGATTGCCTTAACAGGCTGCATGTCACGATAAGTCACATATACAGGGAAGCTAATTACCTTGCAGACTTCTTGGCTTCTTACGCTGTCCATGTAGCAAGTTGNATATAAAATTCAATTGTCTAAAAAATAAATTATATTATATTCAATAATAATATTTAAAATTTATTTTTACTCATTATTTTTTTTAAAATATCAACCAAATTTTCTCAAAATATATAATTCGATAAAATTTTTTCAACATGTATATATTATCGTGTATAGACATATGTTAAATTACATATTAAATAGATATTAAATAATTAAATATGTGATAAAAATGAGTGATGTGATATTTTTGGGTGAAAAAATATATGAAAGATAAANTGTTAACTCTTACATAAAAATATAATAAAATATAAAATTCAATCGTCTAAAAAATAAATTATATTATATTTAATAATAATATTTAAAATTTATTTTTACTCATTATTTTTTTAAAAATATCAACCAAATTTTCTCAAAATATATAATTCGATAAAATTTTTTTAACATGTATATATTATCGTGTATAGACATATGTTAAATTACATATTAAATAGATATTAAATAATTGAACATGTGATAAAAATGAGTGATGTGATATTTTTGGGTGAAAAAATATATGAAAGATAAAAATTCAAATTATATCAAAAGTTAAACTTAAAATAAAGAAAGCAAAACAGACGGCGTACATTTAATTTTAAAAAAATTGACTTAATTTTTTGAGTTGATATTATACCGAGTAGTGATAGAGTCCCGATGGGGCTCTAGCTCCTCTGCTTTTAGCAGTCTAACAACACACATGCGGTTAATTGAGACGACGCCATGTAAGTGGCCCCACAAAACAGCCTATAAATGAAACGGTGCCGTTTCAGCAGCAGTCCTTCCACGTTAAAGAAATTAGACGTTTTTTCCATTAAACAAATCAGCCTTGCCTTCATCAACGGCATCCTTCGTCTTCCACAGCAGCGAACCTGTGCCAAATTGCTACCGAAGTCTCTCTGTCTCTCTGAAGCTCTCCAGTCAATCGGCCCAACGACGACACAAGCAACTGCTCCAATCATCGTCTTCCTCATTGAAGGGCTCTTGATCAAGGTAAATAACCTGATCAATTTTCACTATTTTTTTTCTCCACTCACTCAGATCTATGTTTTTTGTTTATGATCTATGGTTATAGATATGATCAGATCTAGGTTTATTTTGGGATCCATGGTGTGTGATATGATATGTTATTTGCACTTTAGAATATGTGATGTATTGTGGGTTTGGTTCATTGTGAATTGAAAGTNTTTTTTTTATGATCTATGGTTATAGATATGATCAGATCTAGGTTTATTTTGGGATCCATGGTGTGTGATATGATATGTTATTTGCACTTTAGAATATGTGATGTATTGTGGGTTTGGTTCATTGTGAATTGAAAGTATTTGGGCTCCTAAAATTAATAGATGTAGTTACTATAATCACTTTCTAATATACAAAAAATGAATGGTATAATTTTATTTTTTGCATCCAGTTTGACCCATAGTCTTCTTATTTTTTCATCTTAATAAATTTGTTTTAATTTGTTGGAGAAATCTTCTCTAAATTACTCCTTATTTGATAGAGGAAAAATTAGATCATAGTCTTAATGGAGTATCAGATTCATTTGTACATTAAGTTTGTTGGATTAGACTATGTGCCAATTTCTTAACATATTTTGGGAATCAATATGCGGGCAGAATGTATGGCTTTAATAAAAGGGATGAAGCTGGTTTTGTGATGTAATTTGGAGGATCATTAGATTTTCATTGAGTCTAATTCGCAAATTCTAGTCCAAATGATATTGAGGAAGGTTGTTGTGTCATGGAGGTGTCAGTATATTTTGGATCAGTTGGGATTGCCTTAACAGGCTGCATGTCACGATAAGTCACATATACATGGAAGCTAATTACCTTGCAGACTTCTTGGCTTCTTACGCTGTCCATGTAGCAAGTTGNATATTCTAAATCTTCTTTAATATAAAGACGTAGTACCTTTGACCTATGAGAAGTTCCTATCTTCTTCTTTGCTTGTTTCTCATGCCAAGACTTTAGTCGACCCCAACCCTTGTAACCACCATTTTTCCTCTTCAAACCTTTTACCCGTAGAATGTTAGGGTCAATGTTCTCCACTCCTTTACTTGCACATGTGTTTTGAAAGGAAGCATGGTCTTCAACACCATCATTGCCGTCAT